GGCGGTGCTGCGCTCTCGAAGGAAATATATATTCATATTCGGCGAATCTGTCGGTTCATAGTTTTGTCGATCTTGCCGGACGTGGCTCTTTCGAAGACAAGCCGAAAAAACTTTCCAGAAAGTCTCTAGCAAGCCAGGCAGCTATCTGCCATACTTGCCCGTCGCAAATTCAAAGCCTAATCCAAGAAGGCATATAAGATACCAATAAATAACTTTAAGTATTCTTACTAGGGGTCTTTACGGATACATGCACAGAACCTAGACTGGTTTTTAGTTAATCCTAATATATTAAAGGATTAGGTGCTAGGCAGCACCTAGCGAAGGGTTAGGACGCACTAATTCTATCTTACCTTAACTTGGTCAAGCAGAAGCACAGTGCCTTTACTATAATCCTCCTAGGTATACACAGACTCGTCAAACTGCTCAAGCTACTATAAGTAGTATTCTAGCGGACGCTCGTTACCCGTGAAGAGCTACACGACATCGTTAGCATCCTTGAGTTAATCCTTATCGCAACTAGGCTCTGTCGGGTCGGTATCATATTGGTCGTCGTTGCTGTTATCGGAGCTCTCTACGCCCGAATGCTTATCCTCGTCTTAGGAGGGCGACTTAGCCTTTCGCCGAGAGCTAGCCGGAAATCGTTCGGGACGAGCGTCGAGCGTCAAGCGTCGGGAAGAGGCCGGGGAAGGCCTCGATTTAGTGCGCCTCCCAGTGGGAGGCGTATTTCAAGGCCATAATAAAACGGCCACCTATAAGAAAAGTGGGAGACGGTGTTGGCCAGACCATACTATGGACGGAGCACACAGGGTGGAGACTGAAATTAGAGGGGCGACGACAACAGGGAAAGTTGGTGAAACCGAGGTGCTTGCTGCTGCGCCAAGTGGAAAATGCATGGGCGTGGGCGGATGCTGTGGATGCGTGGCAGAAGCTATGGCAAATCAACGGCCTAAAACGGCCTCACTTGCGGCCGTTTTGGCAGCCTGCTTGCCGTCTGCTACTTTAATTGAGTAGTTTAGAAATTAATCTTTAAGACTTTATTAGTATTAGATATTATAATCTATCTAAAGATAGTCTTAGTCTTTAGTTTAAAAAATTTGATTTTATATTAAAAGGCTAAAATAGTACTAATTATATAGATATTACTAAACTCTTTATTATTTATTATAGAGTAATATTTATAGAGTTTATCTTTAACTAATTTAAGGACTTAATATATCTATTATCTTTATTTAATCTTCTTTTTACTAAATTATCTAATTAATTTTTTAAAATAATTAAATAGCTTAGTATAGATAATAAAAATAATATAAATAATAATATTCTTTATTTTTAAAAGGACTATAGTAAATTAGAAAAATAGCTAGATAATATTAAAAAGATAGTCGATCTAATACTATTTTTTATATTAATTTTAAGATAAAAATAATTATATTTAGAGTAAAATTAATTAAAGACTAATTATAACTATTTTATATATTAAAATATTAAAAAGGTTAAATTCTATCTAGTTCGGATATCTTAAATTAGAACTAATTAAGGGTAATTAGACTAGAGACTAAAAAAGGATTTCTAATATTAAAGATTTATATTAATAAAGATCGTAAGGTTTCTAATCTAAAATATAAAATAGATTAGTATTTTAACTAATATATAAAAAATATAGATATATATTTTTATAAGAGTTATTGTAATATCTTATTTTTATACTTTTCGATAGATATATTAGATATATTCTTTAGATTAAATAGTCTTAGTTACTTTATTCTAAAGGTTCGCTTTAGCTAAATAGTTACCTTAAAGTTACTTAGAGATATAAATTAGTTTATTTCTTATTTAATATCTTACTTTTATATAAACGCTATTTATTATACCTTAATAGTTAATTAGAAATATATTTCTAATCCTAGAGATTATCTATAATCTATTATTTATATTAAGCTTATATATATTTTTACTTAGAATACTCTTCTATAATAACACTTTCCGTCCCCCCGGAATTAGATCTATAAGAGATCTTCGATATCTATTCCTAGAAAAAGGTTAATAATAAATAGAAATTCTACTAAAAACTAAGAAAGCCGAATATTATATATTCTATAAAGTTAAAATAGCTAAGGGTAAAATTATATTCTACTATTATTAACCTATCTTAGTAGGCTTATTGTTTAACTAGCTTTAAAGCTTTAAGGAGATTACTAGATTTAAGTAGAGTCTCTTTATATATTATTTTTAGTATAGTAAAGGGATAATTATAAATAAAAACAGTAAATTAGTCTTATTTTAAAGATATAGAATAACGATAAAAAATAAGTAATACTAATTTATAGTCTAGGACTAGGTCTAGTTAGTAATATATAATAAAATCTAATTATAAAATATATTAATATTAGGACCTTTTTAAAATATTATCTTCTATATTATATTAATATAGATATATAGGCCTTAATACGAGGCTTAGAGCCTAATTTAGTAATAATATAGATAATTACTCGAATAGAGAGATAGATTAATACTTAACGGCTTTATAAGCTTATATATAAATAGAAGGTAAATATAGAAGATACTCCGGAGCTTTAAGATATTATCTAGAAACGAGACTACCTATTTTAAAGACTTAAATATAATACTAAAATTAGTACTAAAAAACTAGACTAGCTCTTTTAATTAAAAAGAAATATTATAAATACTTATAATCGACTCCTCTATAATCTTTAGAAATAGATAAAGAATAAGTTTAATAGTTACTAGGCTATAATTAATATTAAGTAGTAACTAACTAATAATATATTTTACGATAAAGAAGTTAAGGAGATACTCTAAATTAAGGAATATATACTTCTTTAATAGATTTTTTTATTAAGAAAACTAATAATCTAGCTAATATTATTAGATCTAGAGGCGGAGTAAAGATAGCGAAATAAGGCTATAGATATTATTCGGATATATTATAATATCTAAGAGGGTAGGCTTAAATAAGGTCGATATTATATTAAATAGCTACTCTCTCGCGGATAAGATACTACGATAAATAATTTCCTAGTTTATTCTTTTATAGCTAAGTAATCGCTATTCTTATTATTATAAGAAATACTTCGGGAGATAGAGAAATATATTCGAAATACCGAGAAGCCTTTAAGATACTTCTAATACTACAGAAATAGTAATAAAGTAGATAAATATTATTTAAAGTACTAATCTTAATATAAACACGTTTTATATTATTTTAGGGCTATATATCTAGAAGACTACTACTATAACTATTATAATATACTAGTTAAATATAAGATAGGCTAGAGGAGATATATCTATAAGAAATATAAACTAAAAATATAGACTAATATTATTTATACTATCTTTTTATTAAATTATTTATCTATAAAATTCTAATATATAGATAACTACTATACGCCTTAATAGTTCAAGATCTATTAGCTTCTTAGTTGACTAGTATAGTAGATATACTAGGTAAATAAGGAAACAACTTTCAATCTTATAGATATAGCATTATATAGACTAGATATAAAAATAGAGTATCCTATATATCTAAGTATATTTATTATTTTAGGGCCGTAATATATGAATCGCGGGTTCGCCTTTAGTATAGACTAGTAGACGGACAATTTAGCTAGGGGTATATAGACTAGCGGACTATTATATTTAAAGCTTACGATAGAGTTTACTATCTTAGGTAAGGGAAAGAGGGTATCAAGGAAAGGCTCCTAGGCTGAGAAATCTGTGGTTATAGGAATCTAGGAGCTAGCTAGCTATTTATATACTATCTCTATTATAGAGTCAGCTAGGAAGGCGGTGGTAGATTCTACTAGCAAGACTTCGATAGGATCTTAATAGCTTAAGATTTCTTGTAATAAGGATACTATAGAGCTTTATAGTCTTTATATTTTAGCCTAAGTTAGTAATTAATTCGATTAGAGACCGGATATACTATAGTTCCGTAGACTAAACTTCTATTTACCGCTGCTAGATACGATCCTAAAAGTAGACCCTTAAACCTTAAGATTATAAATAATATAAATATCACGAAGTCACGAGTAGTATAAATTATATAGATTTTAGCTATAATTCTAAGTATTTTATATATAGGCTTTATAGAGTCTATAATATAGTCTTTAGCTAATTTTTAGGAAATAAGGATTATTTATAAAAAGTATTAATTTATTATACTCTCTTTACCTAATCGATAGGTTTTATCGTAACTAGTAGATCTTTTTATAATATAACTATTTATATAAAGTCGCTTTATTCTTAAGCCGCTCTTTCTTAAATCGGTTCTTATAAACTAGATAAGCTATATTATACGATTAAGCTTTTTCCCTTTTTATCTAAAAGTAGATTATTATAGGTCCTAGAACTTTTTATTAGGGTTCTCCTCTAAGTATTTAGGGTACTTGTTATCTGACAAGTCTACCTTATTTAGAAGGTTCCAGAACTCTTTCTCCGTTAGATCCAGCTATTAGTAGATCTCCTAGATTTAACGCGCGTAGTCGACGTAGTATATTAGATATAAGCCCTAAGCCTAAAATTACTCGAGGGTCCGGAGTAAGCCCTAAAGACGCGGGGAGCGGATCTAGTAATAGATATAGCCTTTATAAGTATATTAGCTATATTAGAAGTAGATAGGATTAAGATCCTACTCCTTAGTATAGTAGCTAAAGCTATAGATTTCGGCGGGGCGGCGCCTAGCTATAATCTAAATAAGGCACTCTAAATAGGTCACGATCTCCCCCGATAGAACGGGAGAAGATAAAGGGCCCTCCTAAATACTATTATTATTAAAGGGATCTACCGTATAAGTACAATAATGTCTCGCAAGCCACAGTGGTTACCTTTTCACTCGTGAAAAAGGACGAGGTCATCGTATAAGACGACCCGTTGAGTTGAATAAAGTTCAGCCCCCAACCCAAATCAGTTGACGTGTCGATCGAGGCTTGCGGGGTCTTCTCTTCACTAAACAGTATCAAGACAAATACCGAATCCCGACCATGGCGACACAAACAATCCGCTCCATCCTGGCTGCAGAGCCATGGTACTACAGTGGCGACAGGCAATGCATCAAGTTCCGCGTTGACGGCACAGGGGAGGTACGTACATTTCCAATCGTCGCAAAAAGCGTGCGCTCAACACCAGCAGATTTGGGATGGACACGAAACGGCCTTTACATTAGCCGCAAGCTTTGACTGGAAAGTCCTCAATTCTCCAGTTCTGGAAGAGCAGCCGGCAATCACTGGAGGCAGGACTGCGAAGACACTGGCCCACCTCAGCATGGAGATCACCCTCACAGAACGCCGCTGTCCCTGTCCCCGGGGCTGGAATTTTGACGAAAAAACTCTCGAACGGATTCGGATGACCTCTTCAACGTTCAAGGACAGCGCATTCCAACCCAAGACGTTTTCTGTCCGCCTTGAGGCTGGGAGATTCGCCAAACCTTTTATGGAGGACCATGGCGGCGTAAAGGGATTCGGAGACCAAGCTCACAGCTATGCGTTGCGGCTGGTATTCGATAGGTGCCCGTGGCCTTTACCGGAGGAGTACATTAATGGTTCCATTTGGTGGTATCAAAGAAAGGTGACCCGACTTGTGTGTCGAGAAACAGGGCTGTATAACTCGTGGATGGGTAACTGTATCGTAGTTTAATGTGAGAGCAGTTGTGGAGGTTGACTTGCAAGTAATAATGGCACTTCCAACTTCCAGGGGGAGGGGGAGACGAAGGAAGAAGAGAGAAAACAGATTACCAAAATCATATACCTATGTCGAATGTGGGAGTGACACCGAAAAATATCCTTGCTATCTAATCAAGATGTGCATCTTTTAAGTCTAGTTGTCAAAATCGTATGATCCTCCTTTCCGATATATCATACCATGCTACACAATGGCAATCCGCTCTCGTTGAGAATAACTTAAGAAGTTGATCAATCAATAATCAGACAATTACTTATCTCAACAGAAACCATGGTAGATATACCTAATATACAAACTGGTTGTTATTGTGTCTCACACCAAGAAATCCTTCGCCATTGGAAAAGCGAAAATGCGACAATAAGGATGGTACAAATCATGATTTGACGCAGGACAAGCTTGACCCGACGGTTGACGATGTGTTGGGGTAGCTAGGTAGAACTAGATTTCCTTTCCACTATGGATGACATTATGTATAGTGAATGATCCTTCACCGACCGTGGTAGCACCTGCGACACGGTTTCTGGACCAAACTGCTGCTATAGGCACTAGCAAAATCATATTAACAAAACAATGGCCTTTCTTAGGAAGCAAGCATTCCTGCGATGTAGGTGATCTGACGATCAAGTGTGTCGTGGGATGCTTACTGTCCGTTTCGCCTAGAGCGCCACCTTATATCAGCGTACCTACACTGCTTTAGGCTCCAACAACGCCGCCTCTTATGATACCCAAGGTTCTACTTGATTCAAGGCTGGCGACAGGAAAATAGAGGAAAGATATCATTTGCTAATATAGTACGTTTAGGAGCCTTTTCGATAACATAATTAGTGGATAGGCTGTTTTTATTAAATACTATAATAGAAAAGTATACAAAGACGTATATAAAAATAGATATAGTGATTATATTTAGACTATAACGTATATATTGAAATAATGATTCTATAGTAAAACTTATCTTCCTTAGTCTTTACTAGGTATTAGGCCGTAGTCAAATTTTGGAGTTAGATAATAGTGACCCTAATAAGTTAGTATTTTCTACAAGACCGAGTTTCCACGATATACTAGTTAGGAATTGAGAAATGCCCAAAATCCTAAGCTATCCAAAGATAAAATATATACCTGGCCTGTTTCTCGGAGGCGAATACCTATATATATATATCTATATTATATATCTGACTATATTCGTATACCTTCTTTATTAGGTTTGTCCGGCGATAATATTATTTCTGGTATATTAACTTCCACTTTAAGGGCTAAGCAGAGGATTTAGCAGCTATTAAGAGTGAATTCTCTGTTCGAAGTCTGGATGGTTACGACTGAGAGTAGTTATAAATATAGGCTTATTGATAGGAAGTAGTAAAATATTTTTTAAATACTCTAAATACGTAAAAAGGATTTTTTAACTTTTGTATAAGTAGGAGGCCACAATTTCCTTAGGTAAATCATAGCTATATACTATTAGCGTTCAGCGCTTAAGGGTTAGACTAGGATAAAGAGAGTATCAAAATATACCTACTATTCTAGCTATACTACTATTCTAGCTATACTACTATTCTTACCTATAGCTCACTTTCAGATTAATATTTAGGATAAGCTAGAATATCTATCGTAAGTCATAATCTTCTAAAAAAGAATTTTCTGCTTATCCTTTTATCGAAGGCCAACGTAACTTAACGTGAGCGAGGTACCGACGGAACAGCGCTTAGATTAAATTCAACCATAACCAACCCTATAGCTCGAGTAAACTAATAGGTACTAAGGCAGCAGAATCCCCAAAAGATCCTAGACTCCTTTCGAGCCCTAGCGCACTTCTTGGTTTCTATTGCTCTACGATGATATCATAGTGAAAGATCTAATTCCTCATGGGCCGGCGGGACTGAGAGGGCGATCTATCCATAGTATTTCAGCAGGTGGAGAGCACTCACTCCGGATGTGGTATATTCAGGGTTCAGTGGAGAGAAGTATGGTTTCCGATGTTAAGGCGAGTGGCCTAAGCCTATAAATACTCAGAATATCCTCATTGAGTGCATAGGATAGCTCTCAGTGAGAGTGATACTGGTTCCTGTAGTTCCGACCCACAACCTCAGTGAGGAGGGCCGTGCAACCTCTCTATTAGCACAAATACAGGTGGTATTGAACCATTAATTGGCCTAGGGCCCGTCCGCCCCCTTCACTACCGCGGGCCCCCGTATCGGTACGGTCATATGCCCCTCGAACCCATCAAAATCGAACCCCGGCGACCTGGACTAGGCCCTCACGCCCACCCCCGGGGGTCGACCGCGCCGAAAATCACATCGTTCGAATCGCCTGAATTCGCTTTACTACATACCGTCGCTCCGCTTTGGATCTGACCCCGGAAAACCCGTCATGACGCACCCCGACTGCGGGACCCCGACGGGCCCCCGCAGTCGGGGTGCGTCCGGCCTCTAACGATACGCGCTGAAATCGGCCCTTATCAGCGCCCTCCGCCAATGACCGTCCCCCGATACCGCCGGGGTGCCCACCCCGACGGTGCGGAATACTAATGTACTAGCCCTCCCTAGGATTTTTCCTGAGCACATCGATTCCAAACACATCACAGTATCCAATGAAGGGAATAGAATTAGAATTGGATCGAGAGATACGCTTATGAATGTTGGTTGTATTAAATTGAGAACATCAACAACGAACTTGATAGCTGATATAGACACATAACTACCTGAAGCGAGCAAAATAGGCAATGGCCGGCTATTAAAGGCGTCAATCAATGTTCAGACCCGGCCAATTTCATCGAGCCTCCGCCTTGCACTTCTTTACTGACCAGTGTGTTCAATAAGCGTCTTTATGAGTAAGACGGAAAGCATATATTCTTGCCTAAGCCGACGGTCGAAATTAGACGTGGGTGTTCTAATAGCGTCAAATCCACGCCCGCCCTCTTAGCCTCCACTGCCAGGTTCGCACACTGTGCTTTGTATAAATCATCCGCATCATCAGGACACGTCAACGAGATTTCCTTCAAGTTTGGGGTCTGGAACTGTTTCTGACTGGCAAAGTCACGGAAGAGGAGCTCAAGAGCCTTGTCGTGGGGGCTCTTTCCGGGCGATAACAAGGAAAGAACAGAGAGAGAGGCGGGTACTATGTCACTAAGTATAGAATTGGAGTCGAATGATCCATCATATGCTGGATCTGCCGCCTTGAGATTGCAAAGAACGATGTCGAGCGGCAACTCGAGACTTCGGAGGCGCTGAAAACCGCGTAGGTATGGCTTCCCTGGGCTTATCAAGCAGCGTAGTTCTAAAGTGATTGCACAGAGGTGCTCGAGATGGCTCCCGACCTCACGCTGCACTGCTGCGATGAATCCGCAGAAATCCCAGACTTGGTGTCCCCCGTTGGCTTTAGTTGAATGCCAGTACGTGAATGATTTGAGACGCGGAGTGTGTTTGAGAAAGCCTGCAATAGCTACAGTATCAACGGATGCATCATCAAACCCTGCCACCTCAAGCTTCGAATCCAAATCAGTATGCAGATATCTGGACTCAAAGCAGTTGTCGTCCTCGGCTTTGCCCATGTATCCGTGGCCCCAAAACGTTTTGATGCGCGGTAGAGCTAGGAGCGAAGGAACCCAGGGTACATCACAACTCCCACTATATGCACTGACCTGGGCAAGGCTGGCATTACCATGTGGATTTTGCCTGGTAGTCTGAAGGACGGTAGTGATGACCTTTTGGGGTGCAGGTGACCGGAACCCGGAAAAGCCTGGCATGAGTACCTGCAGATTCGGTAGAAGCGTCAGAACAAAGGCAGCAGCATGCTCTGATTGGCGCCAGCTGTTGACATCTTCCATCATCGCGCTATAGTATTCCTTCCAGTCGAGTCCTGCTTCATTCAAGCACAATGAGTCCGCGAATAGTTGACGCACAGCTTCATCACGATCTCTGCATGTTTCAAACCCCGCATTCTCTCGGATGCTCGGGGGAAGCCGGTCATATCTGTGACTATCGAACGAAAAGTCGGCCTCAAGAATATAGCGGCCCACGGCTGGTTCGATAGCAATTCGCGAAATCAAACTATACGCCGAGGTCACTGTATCAGGAAACCGGAGCAGGTCGTGATGATATCTAAACTCTCTAAAGTCCTTGTTTGTCTTGTTGTATTCGAACCTCCGGAAATGAAAGCGTAGGTTGTTATGGTGCTCGAGAAAGGGCGTGCACAGTGTGTAGAGAAATTTGCATGTTAATGCTAGGCTCTCAAATCCCTCTGGCAGGGTGTGTGGGATAATTTGTTGCAACAACTCCGTTGGTAATTGCATGAGGGCCATGGTCATGGTCGAGATTGAAACACCAAGACGTTTGTCATAGCCGAAATCGGCGAGGTGTGTTGGAGGGCAATAATGCTTTGGTCGGTGAGAGCCGAAAGACGAGCAGCCGGTCAGTGCCGCTGTAAAATCCCGTGTGTCGATTCGCTGCGACAGTGCAAAAGAGTCAGGTCACCCTCTCGCGAACGGTAAACGGTTGGTCCACCTGTTTCCTAAACCCAGCTCAGGATGAGTTGGCGATCGGTCATGTGATCAAACAGGCCATATCTCAATCTCGCACTCTTTCTTCTTATACCATCCACCAACACAGAAAGTTCCTCGACCTATTTTCGAAGCGCATAATTTTGCGCCTTGTACGTCTTCACGGCTCTCTATGTGCTTGTAGCGCCATAACCCGAGCACGAACAACGGGGCTGGTCAAGATATCTCCACCAATCGTCAGACCCATCGAACCCGTTGCTTATTTTAATTGTTTATCCGTGAAAGTGAGCTATGCCTCCTAAACCTTGTCTTACTGGGGATATGGCTTATCTAAGAATAAGACAACGACTATTTCCTCGACTCGGGAGTCGCGAGTGTGACGTGACAACCGAGGCTCTATTTCAAGTCACTGCGGCGCCCACTTCCAAGGTTGCTTTCACCTGAATAACATGGAGCTTATGCATTTACCAGACGATCTTCTTGAGTATATCGTTGGATATACCTTGCCAGAGGGCTTCGAGAGTCTTGCATTAACTTGCAAGCGCTTTCATGCTCTATATGCTGCGTTCTTGCGTACCACAACAGACTACGCTGGCATTTCCAGAAGTTCCACTACTACAAGACAAAAGAGGTGGTGAAGAGCAGACTTGCTATACTCCAAATCCCTGACACAATCAGCTCAGCGTTCAACTTGATTGCGAGGATCGCTGTGGAGCCTGTTGTAGCGCACTACATTCAAGAGGCGGATTTTGTAAAGGACAGTGAAATATCGATGGGCAAACCGCGTCATTTTATGACTGACAGATCTCATGACGAAGCTATGATGCGACTGCTTGCCGGTTCTCCTTACCTAAAACAAGTAGGTTTAGACTGGAAGGAATACTGGGCTGTAATTCAGGAAGACCTCAACGATGGTCGTTATTCACAACATGCTGCAGCGTTTACTTTGGCTCTGCTTCCGAATGTCAAGTTTCTCGGCCTGCCTAAGTGGTGGAAGCCACAAAAATTGTGAATATTGGGTAGGAGAGAAAATTAGGGATGTGGTGATATTAGAATTTGGGAATATTGGTAAGAGAGAAATTTAGGGACGCAGGAATTATTGAGATAAGGGTGTTGTATTGTGGTTAATCCACACTTGTCAGAGGTGGGACACCTCATCTATTTATTGCTGGTCCCCGCCATAAGCTTTGACCGACGTGATATTCAACACTCCCACTCGATGGCAACTATTACTAAGGGAGCCAGTGATCGTTTATCACAATTGTGGCGGGCCCTATTAAAACCTTTAAAAAACTTACTTAAAAGAGAAAAGAAGGAAAAGGTACCCTATAGCTTAGACTCTGTTCAACACTTCCAAATTGTAGCTATTACTTAAGGCTAAGTCCTCTCCGAAACTATTCAAGTACTTCTCGCGTAAGGGGCTTAGTGAATCTATTAGTAATTTATTCTGTGGTTGGAATATACTTAAGCTATATTATTCCGGCGTTTTGGACTTCTCCCTGTTACTTACGTTAGATTTCTATATATTTTGTACAGGAGTAGTATTACAGGTTAGAGGCTAGAGCGATAGTATCTTGATTGTTACTATAAATTATCGTTATAGTCTTTCCTTAGCTTATATTTAGTTCGTTAAGAAGCCTCCTTAGCCAGACTGCTTCCTTAGTTATTTACGTCTGTCCTAAGAATTTAGCTTTATAGATTAAGAAGGTAACGACACTTAGACCTGGACAGACCCGCGGACAACCCATATGGGTCGACCCGTGGGTCAGCCTATGGGCGGGTCGTGGGTTAGACTTTTTGACCCGTGGGCGGGTTAAGATTTTTTTGACCCGTCCCGCGGGTTAATAGATTAACCTATTTAACCTATTTAGGTAGATACTTTGTTAACTATATAATTTTTATAAATTATATTATTCTTAGCTATATTTTTAGGTATTATATTTATTTTAGTTAAATAATTTTTTATAGTAATTAGGAGAATAATTCTTAAAAAATAATTCTAGAGAATATTATTTTAAATATTAATCGATTTTAATTTTAAAACTTATAATTATTAAATATTTATAGGTATTTACGAACTTTACTAGAAATCTATAGGAGGCTATAATTATCTTTATAATTACTTCTTAACTTTTCTTACTACGGTTAGTAAGATATATTAACTATAATTATTAGATCTATAGTATCCTTCTTTTTATTATTACTAATTAGTATAATCTTTTTATAAGTCTTTTAGGTCTCTTTTTTTTATATAATTTCTAACTTATCCTACTCCTAAAGCTCTTAAATAAATATAAGCTATTTCTCCTTAATTTTAAATTTAGTAATATATATAAATATTATTAGATCCTATATAGTAGATATATTTAGTATCCTTTATTAATAATAATAAATATTATATACGGAATTAAATAATCGTTTAATATTAACACTAGTAGCTAGAATTAAAAGAAGATTATAAATAAGGCTTATAAATATAGGAAATTTATATTAATAATCCTTCTAGAACTAATAGAGTAGGATTAGGATAATATCTAGATAGAAGATAGATTATAATAATTAATATAATATTTAGATAGATTAGAACTAATACCTCTATTAAAACTAGGGTTCTAAGATAGGCCTTAAAACCTTAATTCTAATAAAGATAGAAAGATAGAAATTTAATAGATTAGAACTAGGGTTTTAAGTAATTACTTAGAACCCTAGTTTTAATAGAGATATATATAGAAACTTACTTTTTTTAATATATTATATTATTTTAGACTAGGAGCTTAAGATAGAAGAATCGGTTATTAAAAATATATTAAGCTTATTAGTTTAATAGGATTATTTTATTTTAGATAGTAATTAAGAGCTTAGAATATTACTAGTTTAGTAGCTTAGAAACTAATTTTTAAGATTTCGCTAGTATTAGATATTATAATCTATCTAAGAATAGTCTTAGTCTTTAGTTTAAAAAAATTTAATCTTATATTAAAGGGCTAAGATAGTACTAATTATATAGATATTACTAAGCTCTTTATTATCTATTATAAAGTAATATTTATAGAGTTTATCTTTAGCTAATTTAAAGGCTTAATATATCTATTATTTCTATCTAACCTTCTTTTTACTAAGCTATCTAATTAATCTTTTAAGATAATTAAATAGCTTATTATAGATAGTAAAAATAGTATAAATAGTAATATCTTTTATTTTTAAGAGGATTATAATAAATTAGAAAAATAGCTAAATAATATTAAAAAGATAGTTAATCTAGTACAACTACCATTTGTGCCGACACCGCCGGATTCGGCTCCCTGCCCTTTACGGTTTAGCGCCCGCCCCCGCCGCCACTGAATTAGGTCTAGTGCTTCCAAATCTGGTTTGGCTCCCACGCTAACCCAGAACGGGTTCTGCCGCCTCTAACCGCCTGCTACTGCCGCCGCATAAAGTATATAACCCCCGGTGCGTCGCTCGACGTCTATTCTCTCTCTTGTCTCTGCCTTCTCCCCCTCTAGGGTTGTCCATTCACCGCTACGCCTCTTTGCCCCCCCTGAAACAATACGGTATTTTCGGATCAGTCGGTATGTATCTCCTAATCGAGCTAAAAAATCCTCTTGTTATCTCAGAACCTACCGTCCCTACTTATTATATCGCAGCTTAGCCCTTGATTCCGGGCGTCCTATTTCTACGCGTTCTGGTATCCTAGCTATATAGGCACCCTGTGTTAGAGGCTAATATATATAGCCTAATATACGGCTACTAACCGTACCGTATAGTTGCTTAATCTAGTACGATAAGAGTCCGCGGTAGTAGTTTATAGTAGAGGAACAATCACTACCTACCTCTCTCTGTACAGCCGAAAAATCTGTCGATTACTTTTACTCTGCTACCTACTCTCAGCTGACTTCCCAGCCTTAGTATAAGACCATAATCGCGTATCGGCTCCTAAAAGGAACTAGATAAGGTATTTTTCTTATTCGGCCTTTTCTATACACGCTAGCTAGAGCAGAAGAGTCGACAAAAATACTAGTAGTTATACAGTGGGGCTGGTACTGCTGTTTTAGCTAATCGATCTGATCTTATCGGAGGTTCTCGCCGCTACTATATCTACCTTATCTCGCAACGTAATGATCTCTTTACTAGGCTATAGTATAAGGCGTTAATAGATATACTATTAGGCCTCCGGCCTCGTTATTAGCTAAGAACTTCTACTAGCCAATTAAAAAAATGCCGTATATAGCAGCGACCCGCGTGTCTAGCGTAGTCGGTTATATATGACGGGCTCGGCGTCGTGTAGCTAGCTCGGATACGTGGCTATCTTTTCCTAACGTGAAATCTCGAAGGGATATTATGGATTTGTGTGACTGATAGACCGGCCTCTATCCGATCTCAGCGGACTTATTAGTCGGCTTGAGCAAGCTATAGCCTTTACTATTTATTAGGACGGATCTAGAACTAATATAGCCCTAATATAGATATACTAATTGTCTAGTGCTAACGTGGCTATATTAGTTTTGGGGCACAATTAAGGGGTCGAGGACGGGTCTTCGGAGACCCCGATAGAGGGAGCCACGCCTAAATAGTCTAATATAAAGGGATCTCTAGAGTGTCTGTAAGTGCGAAAGAACTAGCTTTTTAGAATTTAGTGTACCCTCCCTATTGTTTACTCTTACCGCTTTATTCTCTTCTGCCTCCTATATAAACCATAGTCTCTATCGATCTAGATAATATTATCCACTACTACCCTCCTCTTATTCCAAAACCCCCTTACAAACCACTATACCTGCCTACTTCCTCTCGTGGTTCTTCCTATCCTCCTATAAATCTACCTATCCTAATCCATCCTCTACCTCCGTGCCCCCTATATCTTTCTTATAAGTCGCCGTAAATACTATATCTTTATTAATAGAGCCCTTCTCCTATTCTATTATATTTGCCTAGCAATCACGATACCCACGTATAGACGAAATTAGTGTATCTAAACGATTTTAATAAAGAATTAGCCGACTTTGATTTAGCCGGAATTAAGAGCTAGGAGACTTCGGGATTACGCGTTAGAGGCGGCGAAAAGAGTCAAGCAGAGACTATCAACAGCGTCCAAAGAACGGAGCTAGATAATTAATACAATAGTAAGTAATAATTTATCTACTAGTTCCTCCTCTTTTCTTTTAGACTCTTATTAGGTATCTTCCATTTTCGAAGTTAAAGTAAAGAGATATACGCTAACTTCTTATTTTAGAAGTAGACTCCCGCTCTAACGAACGCCACAGGGACAATTTACGGCTCCTATCTTAGGACCTTACTACGTCATAAGATACCGCCACTACCTTAAGTATTACCGAGACCGACCTCTCGTCAATATTTATTTTACCGAACAAGCAGTATCCTATTCAAGGTTAGTATCTCTGGTGAGTCGAGCTTTTCTTAGGTTGCTTTTTACTATATTTTTATAGATCCTTTATCTATTAAGTATAGAGAAAACCAGCTTTCCCTTATAGATTATAAAATAGTAATAAGCAACGTAGCGGCCAATAAATCATATTATATATTTACTAGCCAACGCGACTATAATATTCTAAGAGATCAGTCTCTATCGTATAATCCCAGCACACCTATTCTAGCTAGAGACAAAACGGAGCCTGCAAATCAGCGGCTCTTTAGATATAGCTCTAAGACAGATGCAGAGCCCGGAAAATCTAGTCCTATACCCGTTATAGAAACACACTCTATCCAGTCACAAGCCACGGACCCTATAGCAACTTACAACGGCTATTCAGAAACGCAGAGCGACAGCAGCGAGGCCGATTTAATAGTTTATTAGCTTAACGAAGTATTATCTCCTTCTATCTCGCCTATCCTACAACGACAAAAACGGGCTGGTTCTAGACTAAGGGGAGAGAATTCACCAAAAGATCTACCTAGATCGTGCTCTGTATCAGTTATTATCCCTGAACCTTAGTCCAATAGGTCAGGAATAAAAAGATCTACTAGGGCCGGCCGCGCACACTGCACAAGGAAAAGGAAAATTCGAGATAAATCCCCTTATGATATTAATAGCAATAACCCTAATAATATTAACTATATAGATAGGAACGACTCTAGTATTAGTTATATCGCCGTGTTACCACGTCTAGCGAAGAGGCAGAGACGAACTACAATAAAGATCTAACCTATTTAGGTTCGATATAAAAGTCTATATCCTATATTCCCCTTACCAGCTTAGCCGGAAGAGGTATTCACAAATCTATATCCTACCCTAAGTTTATAGGATATAGAAACTATTCCTATCCGAGGCTTCCTCACACAACAAACATTTCTATTAAGAGTTGTCTACTCGTGTACCTTTAAGGAAGATAGGCAGCCTTGTCCGTATAGACTAACAAAAGCCACCGCGTATAGCGAAAACCTAGGCTAGACTAGATATACCAAGTAACCCAGCAGCACAAAGCCATCGGCGTATACGACTCGTTTCCTGCCCGATAAGGACGAACTCTTAGTAGAACTAAAAGAAAGGCGCCTTCTTATATAGAGTTAGATTGCAAAGTATTTTCTAGAGAGGACGAAGAACTCCCTCTAGATCTATTATAACACAAGGCTTAAGGTCCGAGGAACTAGAAGCCTCGGGCGAGGTCGGAGCGGAAGGATTAAATCTACTATAGCTATAGTTACTTATCAAGAAATATATAACCTATATCCTAGTTCGCGAACGGTAAGTAATAGGAGCGTCGATATAGACTTACGGATAAGGCAACGATACGGCTCTCCTCGAGTAAGACGCGTAGTCGACCGCTATTTACCGGCCTAGTCTCTCTCTGTACCTTAAATTCTTGCCGCTACTATATTAGTTATAGTATCTAATAAAACTAGATTATTTTTAGATACCCTATCCGATCGGATTAGATTTCCCTAACGCAATATACGTGATTAGCGAGCGAGCAATTAATTCTAGTCACTATATCGGGCCAACTATTAGTAACAAAGGGCTAGCTAAGGCTAGAGGAAGAAGGAGCAGAGCTATTAAACCGCGTAAAGAAAGGAAAGGCAGAGAGCTCTAGATTATATAGCTATCTAGAGACAGCTGCTTAGGTACTGCTAGATACCTATCTAATAGTTAAAACTAGTTATATAACACGGTTACGTAATAGTAGACCTCAATAATTAGCTTCTAGGAAGCTAACTAAACACGTTAGTGCCTCGATCGGGGTTTAGGATAGTTCAGGATATCCACCTCGCGGGGCGAGTTTGACAGACAAAGAAGAAAGATTACTTAGACCTCTGCAAGGCTATAAATAATCTTGTAACGCCTTTCCTCTGCTATTTAGCAAGTAGCATAAAGAATATCTAAAAGTGATCGGTGGCCTCTATAGATTTTAGGACGGGGACCTTAGGCCTAGATAGCCGATTATCTATATCAGAACGCTTATTAGTTATCGCAAGGCTAGCCGTATATAAAATCTATAGACCTATATCTAGATTAGTTTAAAGTCCAGTAATGTAGGTCTAAGGTCGAGGAGCTATAGTAAGAAGACTATAGTTTTAAGGATAAGGATCTAGAGTAGATAACTTTGGGCCAGGTACTTTTAGCTATAGACATACGGCTAGATTAGACGTGCGTCCACAGCTTTAGGTCTAGCTAAGCTCTTAGTCCACTAACTAATATCCAGGATAGCTTATCGGCCCTACCGGCTTCGCGTCTCCTAACTACGGTCTATATAGGATTAAAAGCTTTCGATCCAAGTCTCTAATAGAATCTATTTACTAAGACTACAGCCGGCGTTTCGCTGGCCGGTTATAGTCGCTATCGCTCTAGAGCGCCCGCGAGACCGATTCTATTATCTCTTTACTTATAGCTAACTCGTTACCGAATATCACAAAGACTGTGTTTATACCATCCTCGATTACCGCGGTAAAGCACTATATAGAGGAAATTATACAAAGATTCCGATCGTAGAAGGTTACTTTTTATTCTCGTACGTTCTTCCTCGCTATCCGCTCCACAAGAGATAGATCGGATAGATTAACTACTATTTAGTAGACCACGTGATTCTACTCACCGCGCCTATCACGTACACGGAACACGATCGTAATATACGTACTTTCGGGTTTCTATACCTCACGATCGGTATCCCCGACCTCTAGAATAACCAGTAGTTTAGGCTACTAACGACTAGCTAGTGCGGTTATAGTCCTATTAGTTTCTGGTCTATAACTCTGGTTTATATCCCGATTCGGTAAATATCTATCTTGTATATATATTTTAACCTGCGACGTAGTGCTAGTATTATAAAGCTCTTCTAATGGTCGCTTAGTATTTCTACTCGGAATTAGTTTAGTGAAGTCAAGCTCGGTAATAACCCGTGGCTTTTTCTGATCCTCCCTCCCTCGGCCCTACCGGATAGTAGGCTACTAGGAATTCTTAGACCTATCTTGTCCTCCCGGCAGCTATTCTATTGACCCCGTCGTTATCGCCGTATTCGTGGCCTATACTCTTACAGCCTTTTCCTTGGTTTCGTTGGTTCCTAGGAGCCGTGGCGCTTAGATTCGTAGAGCCAAGATAGGTATAGATAATTCAATATATTCCTAGAAGCTATAATCGGCTGGTCCAGCCTATATTTTTTTATTAGCTTATACAGTAGGAACGTCTGGCTGAGTTATTATATTATCCGACGACGAGGCGAGTTCGGTTTTTCTCAATCCTTCGCCTATCGTGGCGTGAATATGCGGCGGATCACCCTCTAGTATAGGTTCTATCGATAGTAGTTAGGATTCTGGCCTAGTAAGTATTACCCTATTCCGTCTAGATTGCCGGTCAATCGGACTAGAGGTCTCTAGTTAGAGCTTAGTTTCAAGTTCGGAGGATACCGATACTCTTTCCGATTCCCGGGACGCGTTTTCTTGATAGCTTACCGTCTAGATATCCTGACTAGCCGGAAGGGTGCTAAGGGGTGTTGCTTCTATAACTCTAGCTGGGCCCTCTATTAACTCCGAGCTATTCGAGCCTAGCGGGAGGGTCTCTTCTTCGTTCGTTTTAAGCTCTAGGTAAATCTACGTTTTAGTGAAGTCAATTTGAGTGATTAGCCTTAGTAGTCGTTCTTGGGCTTCTATGTGATTTAGTTATAATAGCGTGTTAATTTGCTGCTCGAGTGTCTCTTACGGCGGCTCTGATAGCCGAGAAGCTTGTTAACGCTGTCGCTATTCCTGGTTATATAGTCTCTATTTAGCTCTTTCTCTTAGAGCGGCGCCCTTTCTGCTAGTTAACCTAGAGGGCCCCTATAATTTAGCCAGGCTACCTAACCCAGCCCCTCCTACTATTACTAGGACTTCTTCTATTTCTTCCTCCGGAGAAAGGTGGACTATATCCTCTAAGGCTAATTCCTCCTATTTATTTATATATTCCTCTATATAAGTATCCACTAGGGACTCTCCCGTAGCTACGCTCTCTCTAGCCTCTCTCTATAGCTGCTCCCGCTCTAATTTTAATTTAATATAACTAATTCTAGATCCTTCCTCTTCGCTAGCTATATTCTCTTCTCCGATAGACAGCTCCCGTTTAAATTCTTCGGCTATATTTAGTTCCGGATTATATATAACTAGCTTATCTCCGCCCGTTTTACTATAGCCTAAAATCGACCTAACGTCGGACTCGATTATCGGCTCTAAAACCTCTTCTAACCCTCTAGTTTCTATCGAATTAATACGGGTAATCTCTATATAAGGTACAGGAGCTGAGTTTAATAAGTTTCCGGAATAGGATATCGAATAACGTTTAGGGTATAATACTTAGCGCTCTCGTTGCTATTGTCTCCGTAGCTTTTTATCTCGCTTCTACTAGCGTCGCTCTCGACGTGCGTTCTTCTGACGCTGTCGTTCTAAACTATTGTCTAGTCGGCTTACGTTACTACCCTCTTCGCCCACTCGTTTATCCTAGGGTTAGAGGTTGCTAGGAACGAAAAGCGGAGATATAGGTAAATCACGATTCGAAGACTTATCTATAGTATTATTTATACTAGAGATTGATAGCTTACCAAAAAAGGTAAAGTAGATACTACGCCTCACTAAAAAGGAAGAGACCTTTTACACAGTTAGGACGGGATCACTATAAATTTAATCGATGAAAAGGAACTAACGATCTTGTAATTAAGCTTTAGCTTACGGGTGTCCGTAACGAGACTTTTTCTTAGTTTCCCTTCTACTAGTATATTATAATTAAGGCTGATTATCGAGAGGAATAGCCCTTAAGAAGCACTCAGTAACTCAGTCGACAAGAGACTCGAATTCTCCTTTATTATACCGATAATAGTCCAGCTATCAGGCTCTTAATAGAGTATCTCGCGCGATCTGGCGATCCGGCGACTACTAAATAAACTACTTAATCTATAGCGACTTAAAACTAAGTCTCCTTGCTAGAATAGCTATATTATATAATATCATCTAGTCTACCTTATAATTAGGCTTCGCTATAGAGTCCTTTTTTTATCACTTCTTGGACAACTTTAGATAATAACGTATAGTAAAGAGCTAAAGTTATCTATATCCAAGCTCTATAGGGTCCGTTTAAGAATATAGGTAATACCAAAACGCTGTTTCGGAAGTCTATATTAAGAACTATGTATTAACGGGATCGAAAGATATAAAGGCAGCACGTATAGCGTTTTTGATAGTAGGAGAAGATCTCGTAGATATAATAAGCTATTTCATATAATTCGTATAAGATTCTAAATACTAAAGGTCTTTAAAGAAGGTATAAAGAGATAGAATAATACCCTTTTTTTTCTTTATTTGCCTCTAAATTAATACTCGTTCCGACGTGGTGAAGTTTAAAAAGACTTCGCTACTATATATAAGGCCTTTTACGGTAGTTGTATCGTTTAAGGAGACTCTAGGTGCTAGAAGCTATAAAGTCTCTACTATATAAATATCGACTTTGAGTATCTTTACATGATTATATTTCACGAGGGAAGACTAATACTATCGTAGCTCGTTTAAACCATGAACTAACTCCTACGAAATCAGTACCCTAGCTTTCAAAGGTTAAATCTATTTTACCTCGTTATAGCACATAGCTAATACCCGCGGAAGAGAACCGATTTTTATTCTATATACCACTAGCGCTAGCACTATAAATAAGGTATCAAAAGTAGCCCGAATAGTTATATAAGATTTAAGTCCACAGAGCCGTCTAGCTTTGTTATCGGATAGCCGGGATAACCACCGATTCTCGAAATGCGTATTTGCCTTATATCGGTATTGCCGAACTTTTCGGTAAATCTCGCTATCGCTCGGAACCCTTTCGTTAGAGTATTTATTAACGAGGCTAGTTTAAAAGTAAGGACTAATATCTACGGGCTGTCAAAATAGGCTTTCCGTGTTATAGTAAAGAAAGATCCGAGTAGTATAGTGACAATAGTAGAAAAGGATATTAAAGGGGAATGGCCGTGATCCTGTAATTTTCGACTTACTATCTAAGTATAGATTAACTACCCACTATTAATCGATAGGCGATAAATACTCCTCCCTAGCCTTTAAACGATGTTAACCGTGAAGATATTCTATCTAACCAACGGAGAATTATAGGTGTAGATAGCGATTAGATTAGTTAGTTATTATATTAGCCACGCTCACCCGTGCTGCTCGAAGTGCGTTATAAAGATATTGCCTTGACACCACGGTACTAACGTAGTTATAGATATCGAGTCTTCGATAACCTTTTTTATTAAATATTTTATAAAGCCGTTCCACGTTTTTTTAGTCTATATATTAGGAGATAGATAGATAAAGAGTAATTTAGCTAATATTAATTTTAGCGGTCCTTTGGTATTTTCGGCTTTATTCTGTGGTAATTCGCAGCTCGTTATCTATATATATAGACTCGTCTATAGTTAGGAATAGAGTAGGAAGTTAGAAAGTATATCTAAAAGGGGGAGAGTTCCTATATTTATCGTTATTCTTAGCCTTACAAAAAGTATTCTTTCGTTACTGATTCAGCCTCCTAGCAGGACAAAATTAGAAACTAAGGACCAGCTTCTGAAACTATAGTATATCTTTTTAATATTATAAATATAGCTATCTTTTCTACTATAGATCTACTTTATTCACTTCCCTCTTTCTTCCCGCCCGTCTAACGCTTACCCGTATCGCAAGCTATGTTAGGAAAAGGAGATAAATATATTACTATAGTCGACTTTAAGCGCTTTAAGGACAAGTTCGAGTAACCAGCTTTTTCACAGCAAACATCCTTAAGTAAACAGCTAAGTCGACTTAATAGAGAGTTATATATATATAGGTCTTCCGAAACGAGGAAAAGGAAAGCCTCTCCGCTTAGTAAAAATATAAGGAAAGTTATTAAAAAAAGCCCTAAAAGCCTAGGCTTACCTTAATTACGCGAGTCTAGGGACGAATCCCGCTTACTAGTTATAAGATATAAGTTACCCTAAGATATATATCGGCGAGCCTTCCATTGTAAACTTATAGGTAATATATTCCTTACGGCTCGCCGTTCCCGTCCTTCTTAAGTAATAGCTATTTAAGAATATACTAAAGGAGATACGGACAAAATACTAGAGCGTTATCGCAACCTGAACTATACTAATATTTTATACGCCCGGGAGTGTTTTATAGACAGAAGTTCTATATATACTCTAGTCGACGATCTCCCGTTTACTTTAGAGTATCTTATAGGGTATCGAACTCTCTACCCTACTAAGCCGGAATTAGCTTCTATGGTTTGGTAGGTACGTTATACACTAAGTTAATACCGATGATATCCGTTAACAATAATAGATCCTGGATGGACTGTGTTATTTTAGTAGTATCGGATTAGAGCACTAGTCGCCGATATACCGAAACATTCTCCTCAGTCTGGATGGCGTTATCAAGATTAGTAGGTATGGATCTTTCTTACGTAGTAACGTAGCTGACTATCTATAGCTAGTTTAGAGTCTTATGTGGGGTGTCTGCCTAATCAACTATAAGATAAATACTTGAAAGCTCTCGCCTCTATTATTATAGAGCTTATATAGAAGTATGAGAAAGATGATGGAATGGTTGGGGTAGATGATTTGGATTAATAGCCTGTGGATTCGGATATATTTAGATTTCTCTCTGCGATCTCAACTATAGTGTCGATTGAGGCCTTGAAACAGGTATGTAAGCTCTGTTTCTGCTAGGGTATCTTTTAATTTATATAGCTGATCTTTGGGAAGCAACCGCTTATCTATAAGAAGCATCGATTATTAGGCGAGTTAGTCCTTCTGGCTCGATCGGTTTTACTTTCTGCGAGGATGTTTTATTCGTATAATATTTAGCTCGTCGGTTCAAGCTTAGTATTTATAGTAGTGTCTATTCTTGATATAAATAGGCTATATTTAGATATTTATCAGATTTTGTCATCTTCGATTACCTTGGTTAAACCTTTGTTTTATAATTTAGGGCTCTTTACAAAGCTGGTCTTTGATCTTTATAATAATTTTTAAATTTCCTTTCAATTAATCTATCTAATTATCGGTATAAGTAATAAGTATCTTCGAAATCGAAGGGAGATAATATATATAGCAGCCTATAAGTTTATATCTATTAAGTACCGGATCAAGAGCGAGCTAAACCTAGGTTATAAGAACGTAACGTTCTATTCGAGGCAGCCTATAGCTAAGCCCTCTAGATAGAGATAAGACGTAAGCTAGCGGACGTAGCTACTGACTTCGGATTAACTATTTACTATATTTCCGGATCGTACCGAGTATATATATCCCTTTCCGTGAACGCTTCGAAGAGACAATATATTTCTTCGGTAGAACAAGGAAAATTAACGCTAAGTATAAAGCTTATAACTGTAGGCTCGAATATCCGGGAAAAATTAACGACGCTTAGATAACAATTAATAACATAATTTACTAGCGCGTCTACTATATAGATCCGAAAGGCTGTTCGTTTTCCTCTGATCTAAGTTAGCACACTAATCAAGTTCGAATAAATCAGGTCTAAACAGGAGATATATTTAATTTACTAACTTCTTACTAGTAAACAAAAACACGCTAAGTCCTACGTAACTAGCAACTCTCTACCAACAATCTCCCTAATAGTATTCGTCGCTTACTATATCCTAGTCTCTTTTTTACGGTACGTAATAATCCCCGTGAATAACCCGCAGAATAGAATCTCGAGCGACTATAGATATCTTTTGACCCTATTAGTGGATACCTAGAAAGTAGTTCTGCTCCTCTTCTCGTAGTTCCTTAATATAATTTTTAAAATAGATATAAAGCTATATTTAAGTAACGCGACGGTATATATAGTCTATTATCGAACCTTGCCTAGGAATCAACTTTAATAACCGATAATATACAACGTACGCTGCCAAAGAAGAGCCACAATTTGATATATATATCCTAAGTAGCCTTAACTTAGCAACAAGAACACTGGATAGCCTACTTAAAACCAAATTATTACTATAGTATTTAATATTTTGAGTTTGCTAGGTAGTTAACAGTTTGCTTGTTACGGCTTTATATATTAACTAAATAAAAGTAATGATCTTATTATCCTTAGAAAGGTATTTAGTATCTACCGGAGCTAAAAAACCAGTTATTTTTAACTCTTTATTATAAGATATACTTCTATAATTATTTTACGATTTAAGGCTCTTCGTCACCTTCGATAACGAGATAGTATATCTCTGACGGGTATCCCCGGGTCGGGAAAGATTAAATAGATTAGACTGGAGTTTAGTATAGCTCTGAGAAATCAACTCTTCTGCTTTCTTAGCCATAAGATAATAGTCGTTGTTTTCTTCGTTACTAGCTTTATAGTTCGTAAAAATAGGCGAGTATGAACTTAACGGCTAGAGATTTGCAATTTGTAATCTATTTTTAGATTCTATAATTCCTAATTATACGGGTTGTGGATAACCGGTTAGTGAGGATATACTCTGAAAACCCTCGTATTTATCTTTGGCTGGCAGATAGAGAGGCGAGAGGGTAAGGAACGGGGCTTTACTCGATAAGTTAGTGACTGAGAATATCTAAAAAAGAGCGATAGCTAACGTAATATAGCTACTAGAGCTTATAACTTTTAGTCTTGCCTGAAACTGTTAAGAGAGAGACACCGATATCTGGTTGAGCTCTATATATCTATGGCTCTTGGTCTTTCGTATTTAGGCTAGATAGTCCGGACGTGTTGCTATCTAGAGTAATTAAATACTTTTCCTCCTAGAGTGCCTCGGAAGTAAGCTAGGCACTCTATTTAACCGGATCCTCTGAACTATTAATACGAGAGCCCTAACTAGAGAAAAACATATTATTAGAGCTATAACCTTAGGAGGCTGACAAGATGTGTTAGATAAAAGAGTTGTATTAGCGCTGGTTGCTATAGAAATATAAGATTTAAAGCCTATAGAGGTATATACCCCGCGTTAGTAGCCTAGCCCTAGTAGTAGATAAGTTATTCTTACCGTAAGCACCTATATAAGAAAGTCCAGAACCAACACAAATACTGTGGGAGGATATAGGAACGTGAGATACTAGGAAGGATATAAGCCGGAATTATTTGAGAAGGTAGGTAAGAGAGAGAGAAAAAAGTGAACAAGCATATTCTCGACGTCTTTAGTTAAGGGCGGCTGTTTAAAAAGCGTTATTCTAAATAGTGAAGAGTATGAGCGGTTGCAGTATCCAATCGAAGTCGACCTCTGCCGATACTAAAAGGTGTCGCAGATTAAATACTATGGTTTTTTTTTCACACGCTATAATTTCTAAAAGCTATAACAAAACGTGGCCTAAAATAATATCTTGTAACCCTTTTCAAAAACTTTAACTAGTGTAATCTTAAACAATAGCTAGAGAGTCAATCTTTTACAAAGAGCAGAGGATTATAAAAGAGAGAGGGTAGGGATATTTAAAATAAGCTGTTTATTTCTGAGGGCGGTAAAAAAGTAGACTAACTAATAGCCTAGAGCCTAGTTCTTTATAACGTCACAATAAAGGGATATATATATCGGATCTTCGTAAGATCTACCCTTTTAGAAAACAACCTTCCGTATTATCGTGTTGATAGATTAAGTAGATTAAAACTCCGTTTTATATAGTCTTAACCTCTATTAAAGGTGCCTACTAACTATATCCCTTAAGTCGTCTCGTAATTAAATAGACGCCGACACTAAGGAATAAATAAATATTTTTTATCTATTTAGGGTAGAGGACCTTACTTAATATAAGTACTTTGCCATATTTTTTATAAGTATTCGGTAGTCTAGTAATATATTAATTAGAAGCTTCTACTAATATAATTTCTCTGTAGTTCGGGTTGCCGTTAAAAACTATTACGCGATAATACTCGCCGAACAGTTTTCTATTCTTTATTATCTATTTAGATACGACGTAAAATAATATCTCGAGTATCTTACACGTATAATTAGCAAGGTAAACCAGAATCAAAGGCGTTTACTTATATAACTATTATCTAGGATATCGTCACTTAAAAGACTATTTAGTAGTAGCTAAGCAGCAACAGCAATATCTACTACAGTCAGCTCTTCCTTCGCCTATATCGATCAACCAAGGATATGCTCACCCAATGTCTGTATCTGCCACACGAAATAGACGCAACGGACACGTGAGGTGGAGGTGTTGTATCCGTAGAGAAGTTGTTTTAGATAAGGTATAACCTTAGCGATACCAAAATCGGTAGCGATCGCTAGGATATATTTATATTAG